CTCGTCTCTTTCTCTCTTTGCTTTTCTTTCTCCTTTCTTCCTTCTCTTCTTCCTTCCTTTCCCCTTTTTTCTTCCTTTTATTCTTTCTCTCTCTTTCTTTCTTATTCTTTAATCTCCTCTCTTTCTTCGTTTAGTAGTAATTTGGTATGTGGTATAAGCAGAAGCGTTTTTTTTTTTTTTATTTTTTTTTTTCGTTTTTTTTTTTTTCTTCCGTGGTACTTCTCTCTCCCTCTCTTCTTTCCCTTCCTTTCTTTTCCCTTTAATTCTTGTCTCCTCGTCTGGGTCGGTGTCTTTTCCTTTCTTTTTAGTAGTAATTGGTATGGTGTTGTATTAAGCAAGAGCGTAGTGCGATTCTTCTTTCTTTCTTCTTTCTTTCCCTTTTATTCTTTCTCTCTCTCTCATTTCTTTCTCTTTTTCCTCTTTCTTCCTCCTTCGCATCCTTATTCTTTCCCCCCCTTTCCTTTTCATCTCTCTCTCTTTTCTTTCTTCTTTATTTGTCTTCTCTCTCTCTCTTCTATTCTTTCTGTTTAGTAGTAATTGGTATGTGTGAATATAGCTAAGAGCATTTCGTGTGTTTTGTTTTTTTTCCTTTTTTTTTTTCTTTTTCTCTCTATGTGTTCCTTTTCCCTTTTTTTTCTCTTTTTCCTCTCCCCTCCTCCTCCTCCCCTCTTCTTTTCCTTTTCCTCCCCTCCCTTTCCCCCTCTTTTCTATCTTTTTTCTCCCCCCCCCTCCTCCGTTCTTTCTTTCTTCACTTTCTTTTCTGCTCGTCTTTCCGCGGTGCTCTTCTGCTTCGCTTCAGGTCTCTCTTCTCATTCCTTCTTCTTTCTTTCTTTTCTTTTTTTTTCTTTCTTTTTCTTTTTTTCTTCTCTTTTTTATTTTTTTATATATTTATTTTAAGTCTTCTTCTTCGTTCTTCTTCCCTTTTCTTCCCTTTCCTCCCTTCCCTTCTTGTTTTAATTATTAATTTATTTAAAATATTTTTTATATTATAATATTATTATAAATTTAAAAATTTTTTTTTTACTTATAATAAAATATTAGTATATTTATTATTGTTTATTATTTATATATTATAAAAATTATAAGTAATTATTTCTTTTATATTCTTCTCCTCCGTCTCTTTTTCTTCTCTTCCTTTCAATTCGTATCTCCCTCTCCTCGTTTNGTGTGTGTGTTGTGTGTGTTGTGTGTGTGTGTGTTGGTTGTGTGTGTGTTGTGTGTGTGTGTGTGTGTGTGTGTGTGTGGTGTGTGTGTGTGGTGTGTGTGTGAGTTTGTGTGTGATTTGTTGTGAGTTGTGTGAGTTGTGTGTGTGTGTGTGTGTGTGTGTGTGGTGCGTGTGCGTGTGCGTGTGCGTGTGCGAGTGCGTGCGTGTGCGTGTGCGTGTCCGTGTGCGTGAACGTGACGTGTACGTGTGCGTGGTGCGTGTGTGCGTGCGGTGTGGCGTGTGCGTGCGTGTGCGTGTGTGCGTTATCCCCGCCGATCGCCAGAGACGACAAACAAACAACCCCAAAAAGCCCCAAAGTGCCACTCCTCACCGACGGAGCAGATGGCATCGGGCTCAGAGGTCAGCGCCACCGTGGTCTCCGCCCCCGGCAGTGCCTGGCGCTCCGAGAAGGTCAGGTTGGCACTGATCCCCAGGCACCGCTCGAGCTGCACCTCTGCCGCGTCAGACACGACCTCGCCGTCGTCTCTCGTGTACCAGAGGAGCACCTGCGGGAGTGAGAGGGCGGGGGGGGTGGGAGTGAGAGGGCGTGGGCGGGATATAATATATATAATATAATTATATATAATACACACATATAAATAATATATTAAATATATAAATATATATATATATATATATATATATATATATATATATATATATATATATAATATATATATATATATAATATACACACATTAAAAAGCATATACCATTAACAGATAAAACCCGCATATGAATGCACAGCCAACCCCCCCTTCTCCCTCCCACCCCCCTGACATACAACCTTTCCTTCCCCCTCCTCCCCCCCCCTCCCCCCTTCCCCCCTCCCCTTAACCTTCCCTCCCACCCCAACCCCCCTTTCCCTCCAACCCTCCCCCTCCCCCCTTAACCTCCCCCTCCCCCTTCCCCCCTCCCCTTAACCCTCCCCCACCCCCCCCCCTTCCACCACCCCTACCTGCGCCGTGGGTGAAGCGGTGGGCGGCAGAGAGATGGGCAAGTTGAGCACGCCCATGACGATAGGAAAACCCGGGTTGGTGGGCGTGTCGACCAGGTGCTCCGTGTCGATGGGGAAGACGGAGGGCGCGAAGGAGACCTGCCGCGTCGACAGGTGCTGGATCTTGCCACGGGACACCACCTGGAGGTATCATTTATAGTTAGTAATTATCATTATATTATTATATTATTATTATTATTTTATTATTATATTGTTAGCATTATATTATTATATTATTATTATTATTATTATTATTATTATATTATATTATTATTGTTATATTATTATTATTTATTATTATTATTTATTATTATTATTCATTATTATTATTATTGTTATCATTATTATTATCATTATCATTCGTCTTATTATTATCATCATTATTATTATTATTATCATTATTATCAATATTATTATTGTTATTATCATTATCAATATTATCATTATTATCATCATTATTATTATCATCATTATTATCATTATCATTATCATCATCATCATCATCATCATCATCATCATTATTATTATCGTTATTATTTTATTTATCTATTTATCTTTTTATTTTTATTTATTTTATTATTATCATTTTTTTTTTTTTTGGGGGGTGAGGTATTTTGGTTAATTATTTTATCTTTTTTTTTTTGAGGGGGGGGTTACTATTATTTGAATTATGTCATTTCCTCTGCTACTACTATTTCTACTATTTGCCTGCTATTTATGTTATTATACATATCTAGAAGTATCATTATGACTGTCATTATTCTTACGATTATTGCTACAATTACCACTTTCCTTAATATCACTAGGATTCTTATAACTCTTACTGTCATTTATTTTTATATATGTCAGTAATAGATATCTTCCTTCTGCCACCACAACTACCACGCCCCCTCTCTTAACATCTATCACAACCACAACCACCACAATTTCTACCACTGCTTTTCGTACCACAACTTCTACTGCCCATTTCTCCCTTCGCCAACCACAACTGCAACAAGGACCCCCACCAGAGCAGCCGCTACAACCCTTAAACCCTTCCCACCACAACTTGCCCACCATCACGACAAGGACTCCCACCAGAGCAGCCGCTACAACCCCTTAATTAAACCCTTCCCACCACAACTTGCCCACCATCACGACAAGGACCCACCACCAACAGCCGCTACAACCCCTTAATTAAACCCTTCCCACCACAACTTGCCCACCATCACGACAAGGACCCCCACCAGAGCAGCCGCTACAACCCTTAATTAAACCTTCCCACCACAACTTGCCACCATCACGAAGGACCCCCACCAGAGCAGCCGCTACAACCCCTTAAACCCTTCCCACCACAACTTGCCCACCATCACGACAAGGACCCCCACCAGAGCAGCCGCTACAACCCCTTAAACCTTCCCTACCACAACTTGCCCACCATCACGACAAGGACCCCACCAGAGCAGCCGCTACAACCCCTTAAACCCTTCCCACCACAACTTGCCCACCATCACGACAAGGACCCCCACCAGAGCAGCCGCTCTTAAACCCTTCCCACCCCAACTTGCCCACCATCACGACAAGGACTCCACCAGAGCAGCCGCTACAACCCCTTAATTAAACCCTTCCTATCACAACCACCATCACGACAAGGACTCCCACCAGAGCAGCCGCTACAACCCCTTAAACCCTTCCCACCACAACTTGCCCACCATCAGACAAGGACCCACCAGAGCAGCCGCTACAACCCCTTAATTAAACCCTTCCTATCACAACCACCATCACGCACCTGCACTGTTAGGGAGGCTCTCGGCTGGTTGTTGGCCGAGAACCAGACGGGGAGGTTGTAGTTCCCGCTGAGTCCGGCCTCGCACTTGAGCTTCTTCTCGGGCACCTGGAGGAGCAGGGAGGAGTTCGAGGGCGAGAAGTACTGGCGGATGTCCTTCGAGAAGGTCGAGGCACTGAGGTCGGCGCGGCAGTTCAAGGTCGACATCTGCGGGAGAGAGGGGTGGGGGGGAGGGGGGGGGAGGGGGTTAGGGAAGGGGATTTCAGAATTAGTCTCTTCTGCTCTGGATATTTTCTTTTTCTTTTTTTCTTTTCTTTTTTCTTTTTTTTACCTCTGTGATAAGAATATCTCTCCTCTATTTTTTGGATGTGTACGGCAGGACGAGAAATATACTTGTATCTATTTCACACACACACACACACACACACACACACACACACACACACACACACACACACACACGCACACGCACACACACACACACAACACACACACACACACACACACACACACACACACACACACACACACACACACACACACACACACACACACACACACACACACACACACACGGACAGCATCGGTCCCCAACTCACGAAGACCCTGCTGGCGTCGTCGGAGGCAACAACGACCGTGAAGACGCCGTCCTCTTGCGTCGTCCTGTTGGTGCACATGCCCGCCGCGCACACCTCCACAGGGACGCCCACAGCAGGAGAGTCGTCGGGGAGAGTCGCCTTTACCTGAAGGAGGGAGGGAGAGAGAGAGAGAGAGGGAGGGGTGAGGGATTTTAGTTTCGTTTGAGAGGGAGAGAGGGAAGGGAGGGAGGGAGGGAGGGAGGGAGGGAGGGAGGGAGGGAGGGAGGGAGGGAGAAGGAGGGAGGGAGGGAGGGGGAGGGAGAGGAGGGAGAGGGGGAAGGAGGAGGGAGAGAGAGAGAGAGGAAGAGAGAGAGAGAGAGAGAGAGAGGAGAGAGAGAGAGAGAGAGAGAGAGAGAGAGAGAGAGAGAGAGAGAGAGAGAGAGAGAGAGAGAGAGA